TTTACTTCGCTATATAAAGGCTTTTTCTTTTGCTGTAGTCCCAATGATTTCATTTTGCTTTTGTTTCTCTTGCCTGAGGAAATGTATCTAGAAAAATGTTTCTATGACTGATGTAAAAGAAATTGCTGCTTGTGTTTTCTTCTAGGAGTTTCACGGTTTCAGGTCTCACATTTAGGCTCTTAATTCATTAAAAAAGGGGTCCAATTTCACACATAGCTGTCTAGTTTTCCCAGCTCCATTTGTTGAAGAGATTGTTTTTTTTTCCCATTATATATTCTTGCCTCCTTGTTGTAGATTAATTGATCATATAAGCCTGGGTTTATTTCAGGCCTCTATACTGTTCCATTGATTTCTGTGTCTATTTTTGTGCCAGTACCATCCTATTTAATTACTATAGCTTTGTAGTTTATCTTAAAATCTGGGATTGTGATACCTACAGCTTTGTTGTTCTTTCTCAAGATTGCTTTGGCTATTCAGGGTCTTTTGTGGTTCCACACAGATTTTAGTATTATTCTAGTTCTGTGAAAAATGCTCTTGGTATTTTGATAGGGATTGCATTAAATCTGTAGATTGTTTTAGTAGTATGGATATTTTAACAATATTCTTTCAATCCATGAGTACGGAATATCTTTCCATTTGTTTATGTCATTCAGTTTCTTTTATCAGTGTTTAATAGTTGTCAGAATATAGGTCCTTCAGCTTGTTAAGTTTATTCCTAGGTATTTTATTTTTGGTGTGACTGTAAATGGGATTTTTTAAAAAGATTATTTATTTATTTATTCATGAGACAGACAGAGGCAGAGACACAGGCAGAGGGAGAAGCAGGCTCCATGCAGGGAGCCCAACGTGGAACTCAATCCCGGGTCTCCAGGATCACGCCTCGGGTTGAAGGCGGCGCTAAACCGCTGAGCTACCTGGGCTGCCCGGGATTTTTTTTTCTTTATTTCTCTTTTTGCTACTTCATTATTAGTATACAGAAATGCAACAAATTTCTGTATATTAATTTTGTATCTTATGACTTTACTGAATTCATTTATTCTGGTAGTTTTTTGGTGGAGTCTTTAGGGTTTTCTGTACATAGAATCGTGTCATATGCAAACAGAATGTATTACTTCTTCCCTCCCAGTTTGAATGCCTTTTATTTCATTTTGTCTGACTTTTGCAATGAAGACTTCTAGTACTATGTTGAATAAAAGTGGCGAGAGCGACGTCTTTTTTTTTTTGTTTCCAGTCGTAGAGGAAAAGCTCCCAGTTTTTCACCATTGAGTACAATATTAACCGTGGGTTTTTTATATATGGCCTTTATTATGGTGGTGAGGTATTTTCTCTCTAAACCTACTTTGTTGAGTTTTTATCATGAACAGATGTTGCACTTTGTCAAATGCTTTTTCTGCATCTACCAAGGTGATCATGTGGGTTTTTATCCTTTCTCATATGGATGTAATATATAACGTTGATTCATTTGCAAATACTGAACCATCCTTGAATCCCCGGAATGAATCCCACTTGATTATGGTGAATGACTTTTTTAATATGTTGTTGGATTTGGTTTGCTAGTACTTTGTTGAGGATGTTTACATTTATGTTCATCAGGGATATTAGCCTATAGTTTTCTTTTTGTGGTGTCTTTATCTGGTTTTGATATCAGGATAGTGCTGGGTTAGAACGAATTTAGAAGTTTTCCCTCCTTTTCTTTCTTTCTTTCTTTCTTTCTTTCTTTCTTTCTTTCTTTCTTTCTTTCTTTCTTTCTTTCTTTCTTTCTTTCTTTCTTTCTTTTTTTTTTTTTTTGAATGGTTTATTAGGTAGTTAGGTTGAATTCACCTGTGAAGCTCTCTGGTCCGGGACTTCTGTTTGTTGGGAGTTTGTTGATTACTGAGTCAGTTTCTTTGCTGTTAATCAATCTGTTCAAATCTTCTATTTTGTCCTGTTTCAGTTTTGGTAATTTATATGTTTCTAGGAATTTTTCCCCATCTAGATTTTCCGGTTTGTTGGTATATAGTTTTTCATAATAATTCCCATAATTGTATTTCCGTGGTGTTGGTTATTTCTCCTCTTCTCATTTATGATCTAGTCCTTTCTCTTTTTTTTCTTAAGTCTGACTAGAGGTTTATCAGTTTTATTGGTTTTTGTTTCTATATCATTTATTTCTGCTCTAATCTTAAGTATTCCTTCCTTCTGCTGGTTTTAGGTATTGTTTATTCTTTTCCTAGCTCCTTTGGGTGTAAGGCACTCTGTTGTTTTGGGGTTTTGTTTTGGTTTCACCTCTTTAAATAATATTTATTATTTCCTTCCTTCTACTGGCTTTGGGCTTTTGTTCTTTCCTTGGCTCCTTTAGGTGTAAGGTTATTTCTTTGAGAGTTTTCTTGTTTCTTAATGTAGGCCTGTATAGCTATAAACTTCTGTCTCAGAGAAGTTTTTGCTGCATCCCCAAAATTTTGGACCATTGTATTTCATTGGTCTCCATGTATTTTTAATAACGGTATATAGTCAACATACAGTGTTATATTAGTTTCAGGTATACAATGTAGTGATTCAGCAATTCTGTGTTACTCAGTGCTCATCATGATTATTGTACTCTTCATCCCCTTCACCTGTTTTACCCAGCCCCTCTCTTTCCTCTCCACTGGAAACAACCAGTTTGTTCTCTGTATTTAAGCATCTTTTTTTTTCCTCCACTTGTTTTTGTTTCTTAAATTCCACATGAGTGAATCATACGGTATTAGTCTTTCTCCAACTTATTTCACTTAGCATTATACCCTCTAGATCCATCCATATTGTTGCAAATGGTAAGATTTCATTCTTTTTTATTGCTGAGTAATACTCCTCTGTGTGTATGTGAAAGAGAGAGAGACATAGTCTTATCCATTCATCTGGGATAGACACTTGGTTGCTTCCATATGTCTAGCTAGTGTAAATAATGCTGCAGTAAACATAGGGGTGCATACATCTTTTTGAATTAGTGTTTCTGGCATGCCTGGGTGGCTCAGCAGTTGAGCGTCTACCTTTGGCTCAGGGCGTGATCCTGGAGTCCTGGGATCGGGTCTCATGTCGGGCTCCCTGCATGGAGCCTGCTTCTCCCTCTGCTTGTGTCTCTGCCTCTTTCTCACTCTCTGTGTCTCTCATGAATAAATGAATAACGTATTTAAAAAAAAAGAATTAGTGTTTGTGTTTTATTTGGGCAAATAGTAGTGGATTTACTGGATTGTAGGGGAGTTCTATTTAAAAAAATTTTGAAGAACCTCCATACTGTTATCTACAGTGACCACCAGTTTGCATTCCTGCCAACAGTGAATGAGGGTCCCTTTTTCTCCAAATCCTTACCAGCACTCGTGTCTCCATGTGTTTTTTGATGTCCTCTTTGATTTCTTGGTTGACCCATTCATTGTTTAGTAGTGTATTATTTAGTCTCCATATATTTGTGTTCTTTCCAGTTTCTGTGACTGATTTCTAGTATGCATGACATAATTTTAACTTAATGAGATTTGCTTTGTGGCCTAATAAGTGATCTGTGCACTTTAAAGGAATGTGTATTGCACTCTTCTTGGATGGAATGATAGATATACATTTAGATATATATATAGATATCTAGATATATAGATATCTAGATATATATATAGATAGATAGATAGATTTTTTTTAAAGATTTTCTTTACTCATGAGAGACAGAGAGGAGAGAGAAGCAGGCCTCCTACAGGGAGCCCAACGTGGGACTTGATCCCAGGACCCTGGATCATGCCCTGAGCTGAAGACAGACGCTCAACTGCTGAGCCATCTAGGTGTCCCTGGAATGATATGTGTGTGTGTGTGTGTGTGTGTGTGTGTGTGTGTGTTCAATGGAAAATCTTTCAAACCTATCTAAATGATCAAAAAAAATGTAGTGAAGGCAAAACAATGCTATTTTAGTTAAATGTTACTGCTTGGCAGCTGAAGCCTATTTTATTTTTGTTAAAAGAAGAAATTAATAATTTTTAGGCATTCAAGATACCAGCACCAAAGTGACAAGATGCAAAGGATTGAAGCAGAATTGAAAGGGGAATGACTTTCTCACTGTGTGAGTCATTGGTATTTACATCATTTTACATATCACCACCAGTGGGTATGGCCAAGAAATATGTACCCATACCCTGCACTCCCTGCAAGTAGAGTAGGTGAGTTTTGAATTTGTTTTGCAGAAGAAAAGCAGTGGTAGGGTTAATATAGAGAAGTGTTTTTCAGTGGAGATAAAAGTGGAGACAAGATTTCAGAGAATCAGTATTGTTAAACCTTCTTGTTGATGAAGGTGCACCTAATCCCTCTAGGGGAAAATCGGTTGACAGTGGTTAATTAATTAATTTTTTTAAGATTTATTCATGAGAGACACAGAGAGAGAGAGGCAGAGACACAGGCAGAGCGAGAAGCAGGCCCCATGCAGGGAGCCAGACGTGGGTGGGACTCGATCCCGAGACTCCAGGATCACACTCTAGGCTGAAGGCAGGCGCTAAACTGCTGAGCCACCCGGGGATCCCCAACAGTGATTAATTTAGACCTGTAATGTTTCTTAGTAGGATAATATTGACCTTTGGGGCCAGATAATTGTCAGGCACGAGTGTCCCAAGCATGGATATTTTTGTTACTTGGGCACTAAAATGCCATTCATAATACCCATCCTCTTCCCTCCCCCATTATTGTGATAACAAGTTCCCATACTTTTCTAAATGTTTTTTTAGGGGTGCCTGAATGGCTCAGTAGGTTATGCATCAGCTCTTGATTTTGGCTCAGGTCATGATCTCAGGATTATGAGATGCAGCCCCTCTTTCTCCTGTCCCCTCCCCTATGCCAGCTTACCTGTGCACTTGCTCTCTCAAAAATAAGTAAAAAATTTTAAAAAGTAATTTTTAGAGATAATTAAGTACTACTAACCCCATCGGGAGGGTTGGGCAGTGTATTCTAAGCAGAGGAAATGATCTCTACAAATACATGAAAACAGGACTGAGCATTTGAAACTTCTCTATCTTTTCCAGAAGAGAAGAAGAAGCTGATCAGAGATTTTGACGAAAAGCAACAGGAAGCAAATGAAACGGTGAGGAGGAGGAGCATGTCCTTACTTCTACCTGGAGTTAGTCATTTCCAAAAGTAATGCTTATTGATCACAGATTAACTGTTCCTGTCTTTGATCTTGGTTTTGATTATTTTTTATTAAATGAGGCCAATTGATGGGGTGAGTGGTAAAGGGGGTTTGACAAACACAAATGGATAAAGCTTGGATACTCTCTTAAAATGAGTCTTTGATATAATACATTCCTGATATGAGTAGTAAGGGCATTCTCAAACCTTTACCTGGGTGATCTTTTATTTTATTTTATTTATTTTATTTTACTTTATTTAATTTTTTTTTTAATTTTTACTTATTTATGATAGTCACACACAGAGAGAGAGAGAGGCAGAGACATAGGCAGAGGGAGAAGCAGGCTCCATGCACTGGGAGCCCGACGTGGGATTCAATCCCGGGTCTCCAGGATTGCGCCCTGGGCCAAAGACAGGCTCTAAACTGCTGCGCCACCCAGGGATCCCTATTTTAAAAATTTTTTTATTTATTCATGAGAGACAGAGAGAGAGGCAGAGACAGGCAGAGGGAGAAGCAGGCTCCATGTAGGGAGCCCAGTGTGGGACCCGATCCCGGGACTGCAGGATCACATCCTCGGGGAAGGCAGGGGCCAAACCACTGAGCCACCCAGGGAATCTCCCTGGGTGGTCTTTTAAAATTTCATTAGGGACACATAGGTGGCTCATTCGGTTAAGAGCCAGACTCTTGGTTTTGGCCAGGGTCATGATCTCGTGGGTCATGGGATTGGGCTGCATCGGGCTCTGCACTCATTGGGGAGTCTGCTTAAAGATTCTTTCCATCTGCCGGCCCCCCATTTCTCTTACATGTATGCACACACACACTCTCTAAAATGAATAAATAAATCATGTTTAAAATTAAAATTTGGGGCATCTGGGTGGCTTAGTTAAGCATCTGTTTTGGCTCTGGTCATGATCTCAGGGTCCTGGGATCGATCCCCAGTGGGCTTGTGCTGGGCATGGAGCCTGCCTAGGATTCTCTCTTCCTCCTTCTGTCCCTCGCCTGCATTCTTTCTATCTCAATAATAAAAAACTAGCCATTAAGATCAATTTTTCTTCTTTGTTAAACTTACTATAAAAAAAAATGTATCTCAGAAGTGCTTGTAGCCACATTCCCTTATGTTTTAAAAGAGATTAGCGAAATTAACCAATCCCAACGCTGGCCATCCCAGGCAGATGAAAATAATTTATGGCCTCTTGTGAACATGTCTGGGTTTTACATTTTACTTACCCAATAAAATGGAAATCTGATTGGGACCCTGGATTATCTAGGACATGGAGACAAACAATTGATTTTCAGAAGAAAGAGGAAGGGGAAGAACCGTGATGCCAGACCCTTACCATTTTTAGTACAGTAGAGCTCAAAGTGCTTCATGATAGCACTTGAACCATAACAAACTAAAAATTTGGTATACTGAAAAGGATATTTTGAAGATTTGTGTAATCTTGAGCAGATTTCTTCAATTTTTTTTTAAATTTTTTTTTAATTTTTATTTATTTATGATAGTCACAGAGAGAGAGAGGCGCAGAGACATAGGCAGAGGGAGAAGCAGGCTCCATGCACCGGGAGCCCGATGTGGGATTCGATCCTGGGTCTCCAGGATTGCGCCCTGGGCCAAAGGCAGGCGCCAAACCGCTGCGCCACCCAGGGATCCCAGATTTCTTCAATTTTTATATATGAATTAGAAGTAGTATTTCCTACCTTATTGAGGACAGGAAAGATTAAGTTATTAAATAATGTATAAGATGTTTAATAAGAAATAAAGTACTTGTTAGTTTTTTCACTCATTTATCACATACTTTTTGAATGCCTGTTCTATATGGACTAGGCACTGCCAGGCACTCAGAGAAAGGAGGTGAACATGGAATGCCTGGGTGGCTCAATGGTTGAGCATCTGCCTTTGGCTCAGGTCGTGATCCTGGGGTCCTGGTCTCAAGTCCCACATCAGGCTCCCTGCAGAGAGCCTGCTTCTCCTTCTGCCTATGTCTCTGCCTCTCTCTCTGTCTCTCATGAATAAATAAGTAAAATCTTAAAAAAAAAAAAAAATAAAGGAGGTAAACATGTCGCATGTGGTCCCTGCCCCTCCCCTCGTGGAACATATGGTTGAGTACTTATTCGGATTTGTCTATGGTTTGATTAGTCAAAACTAGCATATGCCCAGATGAGAGCAGCCCATCTACTCACTACTTTCTGCCTTCCTAGCTGGCAGAGATGGAAGAGGAACTACGTTATGCACCTCTATCTTTCCGTAACCCTATGATGTCTAAGCTTCGAACCTACCGGAAGGACCTTGCCAAACTCCATCGGGAAGTGAGAAGCACACCTTTGACAGCCACACCTGGAGGCCGAGGAGACATGAAATATGGTTCATATGCTGTAGAAAATGAACATATGGTAAGCTTCAGCTGTTTTTTTTTTCCCTTAATGGCCTGTGGGCACAAAAATTAGCCATATTGTAGAGTTTGTTACCAGTCAGTAGTAGACTCTTGTTCTTTACACTGTATCCTGTTTCCTGCATCCAATTCCCCTTCTCCTCTTGGAGTAACCAGCTCTATTGTATTTAATACAGATCTTTCCAAACCATGCTTAGATTTCTTTGTATCTGTTATAAAACAGTGCTAGGTACTCAGTAGAGGAATACAAGTGTTATCTATTCTTAATTGTATCTGGACTTTGTATTCTGACCTATTGATCTGGGTTTTCATGTATACTCAAAAAATTCAGTTAGGCTTTTTAATTTATCCAAAGTTTGTTACAAATTAACCCAGGCTTTCCTTTACATTTATATCAAGATGACCCAACATCCAGAGACACAGTAGAGAAGGGAGGATCCTTCTCAGGAGGGGACTAACGGGCTTTTACTCAGTTGTAATGGAAAGTAAGCCAGATTACCTTTCTAGACTCTAGCATTCTGATTTATAAAATTAGACCGACAGAATTGAAAACCTATATACTGAAATGAGAAGCTGGATAAAGAATAAAAGTTCACAAAAATTAAATGTAATGTGTTGCATTTGGGATTATACTCCACTGTACAAAGTAGAAATGGTCTGGCAAATAGCCAGTAAGTAGCATGGGAGAGAAATGGACAGGGACCCACAGGTATAGACTGTATGTATGTAGAAAGGTCAATAGCGTAGTGTTAAACAGTCCTGTTTCATGATACATCCTGATTATGGTTCAAAGACATTCAGATGATACTGGCCTGACATTGCTGATGTCAGAACTGGAGAGAATGATACAAACTTTCAAAAGTCACTTGTGAAGGGAGACTGGGAAAAGGCAAACAGGTGAAGCTTGTTAAAGTGAGATGAGAGGTATTAAGTGAGGTTTGGGCATTTGTTACCAGAAATCAACAACAGAAAAAACAAAACAGGAGATAAAGCCAAACAATAGTTTGCTTTAAAATTACTAGTTTCAGGGGTACCTAGGTGGCTCAGTCAGTTAAGCATCTGCCTTTGGCTCAGATCATGATCCCAGGGTCCTGGAATCGAACCCTGTGCATTGGGCTCCCTGCTGAGCTTTTCCCTCTCCTCTGCTTGTGCACTCTCTTGCTATCTCTCTCTCTCTTAAATAATCTTTTAAAAAATTACTAGTTTCAAAAGTTATAAAGATGATTTAGATACACATACCACCTTCAGTGGCATTATTGTTCTGAACTGGAGTTGATTTATGTGATCTTATGTCTTTGCCTGCTCTTCGGTCTGATCAGTTAAAAATCCCCCTTTTTTTTTAAAGCCATACTCCTGCTTCTCTTTTTTTTTTTTTTTTTTTTTTTTTTAAGATTTATTAATTTATGATAGAGAGAGAGAGAAAGAGAGAGAGTCAGAGACACAGGCGGAGGGAGAAGCAGGCTCCATGCAGGGAGCCCAATGTGGGACCCGATCCCGGGACTCCAGGATCGCGCCCTGGGCCAAAGGCAGGCGCCAAACTGCTGAGCCACCCAGGGATCCCCCATACTCCTGCTTCTCTTAAGCTAAAGTAACTGGGATTCATTTCAGTGTCATTGAAGTGGTTCCATCATCCACTAGTGTGTAGGCCATTTCTTAGCTGGAAACCCAGTAGTTTGGTTTCTTGATGGTGGTGTGTAGTGCTAGTATACTGTCACGTAGTTTAGTCATAGGCCCTGTGAACCAACCCTTTTCTGAATGTGTAAGTGCTTTGAATAGTGAAGAACTTAGCTGTACCCATTAGTCAGTGGTTAATTCTGGCTGACAGAGTCTACTTCTGTCATCGTGCCTTCTGTGTTTGGGATTATAGGTGGAGTAAAACTTTGGTAGGGATTTAGAAAATTAGGGCACTTGGGAAATTAGGGCAGCTTACTTGGCCCTAGATACCTCCTTCCCTGAGAGTAGTCACCAGTGTGGCAGCTTCACAGTTTTTGTTTCATTTGGCTTGAGGTGAAATTCTTTTTGGGTTTCCAAGACTGTAGCCACTTAAGTGTTTTCCAAAATGAGATTAGTGTCTCAGACTTCTAAGTGATTTCTGTTCGTACTGCAAATGAATAGCTTATTCATGGTCCCTTAATCCTCAGTACCAATCAAGAGGAAATCTTCAGTGAATTAATCTATTTCTAGGCCATGGAGTTTAGTTGGTTGGTTTGTTACCCCATCAAAAGTTACAGGCTATATGCATATTTAGGTAGCTCCTGTACCCCAAATCTGGGCCACTGCCTCTCAGAAGTTGTTAGTCCAGAAAGCACATGAAATCACTTCAAATTCATCATGAACACAAGGAAAATGCCTTAATGTTTTTCATTCTTTTCTTGCCTCACATAAGTATAATAAACAGTGACGTGATGGTATGTGATCTTATATTGGATTCCAATAATCTTATAGTTGATTAGCATCTTTGGTTGTCTTAAAAGTATTGAAAATTACTGCACGTGCTATATCCATTCTTACATCGGAATGGCCACAGGGAATGTGCGGCAGTGAATTCATAACAGAAGAGGTCTAACATTTCCCTTCCATGTACCTGTCAGAACCGGCTGCAATCTCAAAGGGCATTGCTTCTGCAAGGCACTGATAGCCTGAACCGGGCCACCCAGAGTATTGAGCGTTCTCATCGGATTGCCACAGAGACTGACCAGATTGGCTCAGAAATCATAGAAGAGCTGGGGGAACAACGTGACCAGTTGGAACGTACTAAAAGTAGGGTATGTCTGAGTGGATGGGGGAAAGTGGGTGGGCCCCTTATATTCTAGTTACGGATGGGAGTTCTGAATTAAGCGTTAGGACCCTTTAGGTGTTTACACTTTTCTTGGCTGGGAGATTTCTCTTGAAAGTAATTTTACCCCTCAGATTTAGAGGTCATTAGAGGAAGAAAAAAAAAAAAAAAAGACTGAGGAAACTCAGCCTCTGCATTTATGGAAGATTGTCAGTTCCAAGATTATAGCCACTCCATCCTTTTAATTCCTGTATTACCAACCTAAGATTTTTCTTATACATGTAATATGATATTATGCTGTTCTTATGAAAGCACCATCTATTTAAAATGATCCTAGTTTGTCATTTAGAGCCAAAGCTATTTTCCACAGGTCACAAAATAGTACTGCTGACAATTATAGAGGTTTAATCCTGGACTATATTGCTACCCAAGGTAAACTGGATCACTGTGGGAAGAAAATGGGAAATAGCTTAGGCCAAATGACTATATCAAGGCCTCTGAAAAACACCTTGTTTCTCCCTTTCCATACACCTGCGTAGGAATTTCAAAAGTAGCACAACTTGTCAATAAAGTGTCATATTCTTAACATTATGAGGCAAATACAAATTGAAGAACAGATACTGTGGGCAAGACTTGGATTATTTCCTCAGTGTGGGGATTGGAGGGGATTTTCTCATATATTCTAATAGTTGTAATTCTCTGTTCTTAAATCAGAATAATGCCCTTCCCTCCTCAGTGAAAGTTCACAACTGCTGAATTCAAGGGAAACTGTGGAGAAGGCAACGCTTACCGATTGTGTGGTTTTTGACTTTTGAATACATCAGGTGGATTGTTTGAATTTAAAAGCCAAGGAATGAGCTGAAAGATCAACTTATTACTATGGCCACTGGGGAACAGGAACAGATGGCATGTGGCATCTGTTGAAATATTCCCCAGCTATCTAGCTAACAGGCAGCCAAAAGGAAATGATTTTTTTAAAGGCTTTTAAAAGATTCCTTTCATAATTTAATGTGTCTGTAAAAGGGGTTAAGAAAAAAGGACCAGATCCCAAACGTGGTAATCCACCAGCCTACAAAAACAAACACTAACCCAAGAGGCTCCCCTGAAGTTTGGCTGATGAAATTCAAATCTGAAGTTGCCTCAGTTACTGGCGAGGTACACTTGAAGCCTTTTTCTGTTTGAGTAGCCAAGGTGAAGGATTAGTTTGGTCCCAGAAGTTCCCCACAGTAACCTTGGGATATAATAATTCCTAGGCCTCCTTGTCGAGTACTAAAGGATCTTGTCCTTTCTAGTTTCTTCTTATATTCAGAGGCCATCATTCAATTTGGTTTGGTGGAGTTTTTCAGCACACACCCTTTAATGCCCGCTGTCAATTTAGTTAAGTCACGTTTAAGTTCTATAGTATGTACTTTCAGAAGGGGGAAATAATTGCTATTTTCTCTTCTCAGCTGGTAAACACAAGTGAAAACTTGAGCAAAAGTCGAAAGATTCTCCGTTCAATGTCCAGAAAGTAAGTTTTAAAAATAGAGTTGAGAAACTTTGTGACTAAGACATTAAATAGTGACTTGCAAAGGTCCTGATAAAGCAGAAAGAATAAAGTATTATCTTGTCTAGTTAAATATCCTTTGTTAAGAGTATATGCTGCTCTGACTTGGAACAGCGGGAAATTAGTCCACTTTTAATCCCAGCTTACATTTTTCAGAGCACATGCATATTCCTTGAAATATATTTGTATAAACTTGGTTAGAAAACTTTTTACTGCTACTGCTTAATACTTCCTTTTGGCTCCATTTGTTCTTCATGGGAGTCAACCCCTTATCAGGGAGTTCTGTTAGCAAAAAGTTTACTTAAAAGTCCCTAAAAGTGGCTAGTGTACACAAAACTATGACCAAGCCATGGAATTAGTAGGAGTGAGATTTTTCTAAACAATGGTAAGAGGAAACTTTCCATTTAGAGCTAACATGAGAACCAGAAATTGGATTCCCACATCAAGAAAAGGTAGTGTAGGAGCTTCAAAACCTTCACTACCTTTATAAAGATAACCATTTGGGTTGATGGAGGAAGAGAAGAGTTAGTGGTAATGTATCTCTGCTATTTTGAAATAGGATTCAAACTGATTTCAGAATTGATATTTTTCAGGGCATCTGTCTATCAAGAGTATACAACTCTTGATCTTGGGGTTGTGAATTCAGGCCCCATGCTGAGTATGGAGCCTACTTTAAAAAAAAAACTTCTAGGAAGAGCTAGTTATAAAAATGTATATTAAGTAATTTTAAAAAAAAGAAAACAAGACATTTTTCATAGGTTTTATCTTGAGCCAATGTGGGGCTCAAACTCACAACCCCAAGATCAAGAGTCACATGAGCCAGCCAAGGCACCCCTACAAAAGCTGTTTTTAAAGTAAAGAATGGACTACTATTTGAAGACATTTTAGAATCAAGAAACCATTTTTATGTTTTGGTGTATCTACTGTCTCAGTCTTCAGCATTTCTGTGAGGTAGTGTTATCCTTAAGTTACAATTGAAAAAGCTTTCAAGTTGTCACCAGCTAAAGAACTATACACACACACACACACACACACACACACACACACACTGCTGAGTGGTGAGGTGATCCAAAAAAAAAAAAAATCAGTCTGCCTCACAGTATCCAACCTGGGCCACAGGGTCAAACCCCTTAAGTATTAGTATTAAGAACGGAAAGAAATGAGGTCATCCAGACTTCTGACTGTTCCCTACTTTGCTTCTCTTTGTAGAATAACAACCAACAAGCTGCTACTTTCCATCGTCATCTTACTGGAGCTGGCCATCCTAGGGGGCCTGGTTTATTACAAATTCTTTCACAAGCATTGAAACTTCCTAGAGGGAAGGGTTTGTGGACCAGAACTTTGACCCTGTGAATGAATGGTGTTAGAGAGGAGGAATAAGCATAGTGCTGCTGTGAGGTAATGGTTCAAGGATGCACGGTGTAGCCAGACTGGGGTGGGGGGAGACAGAAACCACGTAACTGTGAAGGAACAGCAATGAGACCAGTATGATATACCAACGTAATAAATGTGGTTTATGACTTCTTTAAATTTACATAGTACTTCAACATATTAATACCCTGTGAATTGCAAAAAAAAAAAAAAAAAAAAAAAAACCATCAATTTACAGTAGTATTATTGGTCACCAAGATGGAGAGGGAAAGGAAACTTTACAATTGTGAGAGTGCACAAATGTTCTCATTAAGGCAGTATTGACCCAGATGACCATTAGTATCTATCTCCTCAGTTGCCTCATAATTCTGGAATGTCCTTCATGAAACATGTCAGCACACAAAATTTGCTAAATTCTCACACGTTCTTCACTTTCTGATTCATCTGGTGAACTGGGAGTAGGAAGATGGTCATAAACAATGTGCCCTCCCTCCCTTGTCTGACCAAAACTTGAAGCAATCACATCCACTGCCAAGCCAGCTGTAGCCTTGGCCTCTTCCTCTGAAGCAGCCAACTGAGGATTGACTTCAACAAGATCCAGTGCTGACAGCAACCCTGAAAGAACAAAGTAGGACAAAACCTCAGACGGTTTCCCAGCTGCTACTTTCAGTGAGGGTTATCCCACTGGACAGAGCAAGCCAAGGTTAAAAGTCATTTTCTACTATTAAAATTACCTACCATAAGGAAGGCCCCTACACCTACCTCATCTTTTTGGGCATGAATTTAAGTTCAAACACTATACTAGAGTAGGATTAAAATCAGTCATCCCTGTTCAACTAACCTAATAGGCATAGCTGTCAGGCCTCCTGGATAAGGAAAGAGTTCCTCCTTGGGGAGGAGTTAGATAAGGATTTTCCAAACTGCTTGTTGGGAAAATGTGTGCCATATCCAGTATTACTAGGAACCTTCTAGATGTCTGTATGTGGGTATATGAAGAGATCATCTTCCCTCTTTTGAGCCATTACCATTTTTGACCTCTGATGTTATCTCTCTTAAGGCACTACATGCTTTTAGTTATCAGCGTATCTTAGTGACACCTTTATAGGTCTGAGCTGAGGGCAGGTACCACGTCTGACATGGTTTTTCAGTCTCCCATCATAGTGACCCAGTATCTTGCACTTAGTCAAAGGAATACCTGGCCATACTTTAATTTGGACTTGTTACCTTCTGTGGGTTTAAAAACTTGTACTAAAGGATTTGAGAAGGGAAGATTAGACAAGAACCTATCTAGACCTCTCCACCCCAATACACAAGTCCACTTCTCTAGGGTATTTAACTTTTTTAGTTGGTTATTCTGGGTGAAGCTTATCTACCTCTTCAAGTCATCTGAACAAATGAATACTGGAGAATACAAGTATCAGAATAATTAGGGTGGCTACAAAGCCTGGAAATCTGGGTGTATATATCTACTGGTCTGTTGATGTCACAGTGCAATACGTGATATGCTCAATGACATTACATCTGTTCAGTGTGCAGTCCCTTATTAGCAGATTAGCAGTGCATAGCTCAATGCAAAGCTGCAATGAGCAGGCATGTTACTGCAGCATTTCCACTAATTCCTGTGTAAGTATGTGTGTCTGATTTCCACTGACTAAACCTGGGTCTTTGGTATAGCCCAGAAATAATAAAAAGACACTTGAACTATTAAAAATATGTATTACCCATGTTTCCAGACTATTGCTACCCTCTAACTTAAACAAAGTGCTTTATGTAGTTATGTAGCTATTCTTTGGGAATAGAATAATATAGCAGGGGAGGGAGAAAAAGGTATGACCACTACCCCACCTAACTATTAGAGGTTACTAATTAACCCCTGCTCTAACTGGGGTCATTGGGAACCAAAGTGAAGAATCAAATACCCAGGTTCACTGGCCACTAACTAAAGGACAACTGATAACATCTAAGATCGGGGATCTGAGAATGAGACTATCTTAGTGCTGTCAGACCTGATAGACCTACACATTCTTTTCCTTCCTGTGGTGCCTAAGGTTCCAGTAGGCTCCAGAGAGACCATTTCTCAATTTCCTTATCTATCCCAACTACTCAAGAGCTTCCTGTGGTTCTGGGCCTTTCATTGTGGGCTCTCTGCTATTTAGATCCTAATTTCATAGAATGGCACTGAAGTATCATGTGGTAGTTGTTTAAATTTTGCAAGGAAAGGTCATTTAAAGTAACCTTCAGCAACTAGAAGCTTTCTGACAAATGGAAACTACAAACCATGAATGAATGTGGGGACAGTGACCTGTGTAGCCACTCTTAATCTAGCATTCATTTTACTAATCTTTTGTCATCCATTCATCTTCTAGTATCCCCATATTAAAACTCCTATCAAACAAGCTCTAGTATAAGGTTTATCCTATATGAAAAGACCCAAGATACTGTCCAGCTTTGAAATATCTTCAAGAGAAGATTTAACTCCACATTCTCAACTTCAAGTAAACTGTTATGTCATTGTAAAAATTATAGCTGTTTGGCCTTGCCTTTAACCTTAGTCTGCCTTTAGATAATGCAGATACAAAGAACTACATCAATTTGGCATGTTATTCTTGTATTTAATAATATTTAAGTAGACAATTTTTCATTCACTATTACCTTTGCATATTTTGATATAAGCCAGGTCCAAACATGCCTCTAAATGACTATTCCTTATCAGCCTGACCATATGGTTTTTAGTTATAAAAGTTTAAGCAAAAATAGTATCTGTAATGACATAGAATAGTAGGAAAAAACCATCTGGCATGCAAGAGGCATCAGCATATTTACTTACACAGTTAAAAGGTTGATCCCTTCTTACCTGTATTGTGTATTTCCTCAGTAATATACATGCCTTCTCGATAGGTCAGTCCTCCTACCACAGGAGTTCCTGTGGCCGGAGCCAGGGTAGGATCAAATGCATCAATATCAAAACTCAGATGGATCGGCCTTTGTCTTCTTGAGAGGAAGAAGATAAGAATAGTCATTTGGGTGTGCTTGGACATTGATCTTTCCTATGGTGAGAACTCCTTGATTTTGTTGCTGTTAGTCCTGGTACTTTGCTAACACAGCAGATTTCCAGATTTCCTATTCTGGAAGTTACTGTGTATTACCACATTAGCTTCCTACACACCCCTTCATTATTTTGCCGTTTGTTCCGTGTGCCTCAGACTAACTCTGATTTATATTTCTGACTTAACCTAGGCATGAGAGCCTTTCACATTAACAGTTTTTCACTTCCCTATGAGATTGGGCCCTGGGAGAGTCCAACTTAAGTTAGACTGACCTAGGTTACAGTTGTTCTTACGCTCTCCATGTAACAGCAACTGAACTTAATTGATTTGGTATCTGCAGTCTTATCTCCCAATTCTAACTTCAGTTTAGCCCACGTGTCCCAGGAGTGGAATCTAGCATACAACACATATATGCTAGATAACTAAGATTTCTTACAGCTTAAGAAATGTAATTGCTACCTTGTAGTATACCATTAATCACTTGGAAATAAAAACTTAGCACTGAGAACATGCTCTTAAAACTAGCCTTTGGTTGGCATTTATCTGCCATCTTTCTATACTACCAAGATTTGCTCAATATAAAACTTTCAGATGCAGCCACAGTGAGTTTAGGAAGGGGACAATTGAATGAATGCTTCTCATCTCAAAAGATAAGCATTAAAAATGGAGCTAAAAAGAAATTCATGAGACACAGAGGACCCAGGCTATGACTTCAAGGAAACCCCCTCCCAACCCCAGAGGAAGAGTAGGTCCTATGTTTCATATTCTCCCTTTCCAAAGTATTTGAATTTTTTGGAAATGTACATATTTTGCTTTTATTTTAAAAGAAGAGCTGCTGTCCTCAAATGATGGGCTGAAGTGTGCTGCTCATTGGGAGTCTGCCCTATTCCCTTTGGGACTTTTCCCTTTGGAAGTAGATATCCATTGTAAGTTACTTACTTGCCAATTAGCAGATCAAATGTCTGTTCCATGACCTTCTGAATACCAAGTCGATCTATGTCTCTCATGGAAAAATACTGGATATCATAATTCTTTAAAATAAAACTGTATGAAATAAAAAGGAAGGAGTCCTTAGTTTGAAGAGCATTTTTAATCAAATGCATGTTGGGGTGGGAGGGAGTTTGTCCTTTTAGTAGCCCTACAAGAGGTCAAAGCAAGGAACACCTATCGAAAGGAACATAAATGGCCGGGACAGACCCAAAGCTTAATTCCAGCATATCAACTTACTGTTCAGGAGGGTCCACATCTCTTAGACCAATATATACGATATTTGGGGAAGAGATACAAGGTTTGATCCAGGAAAATCCTGGGAGTTGTGGTACCTGTCAAAGGAGGAATATACAGGACTCATCAAGGATTCTTGGTCTCACCAAGATAATCACCATATGCTTCCCAAGGTATGCAGTCTGCTTTCTCCTCCTACCTACAGGATATGTTTAAAGCAACCCAGGACACACTTGATCTGGAAAGAGAACTTAACACAAATGGAAATGATTCAGAAGGCAACTGAAGAACAGATTTCTCAATAAAAATTTTCTCCTAAGGTGACCACGGTTTCTCATTAACTTACCTAAATAGCAGGAACACTGCTGATTAGCCCTTTTCCACCCCTTTGTACATTACTGAATTGTTTACACATTGGTTCTTGAAACACAACCCAATTGCCATCTTAAGTTGCCTACAGGCAAAACACAAACTCTGCCTAATGAATAACTTTTGTACTCTCCTGGTTTAACTTGGTCTCTCATTGAGGAAAAGGATATACAGATTCTAATCTATGCCTAACATGGACATCTGTGTCTTCTGAGCAGCCTAGGAAAATATTACCTAGAAGTAATCATTGTTTTGCTTTCCTTGAGACCAGTGGGTCTGAGAGTAAGGCAGGCCTGAGAGCCTCTAATCAAGAAGTCCTCTCATGCTGTGAGTATATCAATCACTAGAGTTACTACCCACTGCCACTTTCCTTTCTCACAAATTATGACACAAACACACACACCTGAGAGACAGGACCGTGTCCTAGTCCTCTTTACATCCCTAGCATCTAGTAGACTGCCTGGCCCACAATAATGTTTGATGAACAAGTGAAGGAATACTAAACCTTTCTACCACCACCATCAGCCCATTCTTCATAGAAATCTTATTAAACTCGTTCCTAGCCCAGCATAACCCCTGCAAGCCATTCAACCTTTTCATTTTAGCCCACTGACCTTGTCCTGTAGTTCTCTGAGGAGAAATGAAACTGGCTGTCCATGGAGATTTCCAGATGAAGTGGTGAGGGGTGTATTGATGTCAGCATGGGCATCAACCCAGATCACACAAAGGTCCGGGCAGTGCCGGGCGTGGCCGCTAATGGTACCAATTGCCAGGCTACAAGGAACAAACACAATAAATCGAGGCCCCCTGCTTGGCAAACATCACCAATAACAAGTATCCTCAAGTCAGTGCAGTTCACACTTTGTCCTCAGGGCAAAGTCAGGGCCCCAGGCTAAGGCTAGATTTGGATAACCAAAAAAGTCCCTGGACCTATAATTCCCAAAGATTAACCTTGAGTAAGTTAGGGAGAAATGGAAGGTTCCAAAGATTCAAAGCTTGTTGACTGGTTATCCTTATAGTTTGACAGATGTCATTGCCGCCTCCAAATCCCTAAAATTTGACCCATTAAGCCCTGGCCCAGAAAAGGACCTCAAATATTTGTTTAGTGAATGAAATCCAGTTAAATGATGTGTTCTGTATATAACAACTCATAAATATTTCTTAATAACTTAAGGAAGATTAGAGATTTAATTTCAAAGAATCAGTTTTTAAGGATAAAAATTCACATAATAGCTTTTTGACATTTCTTTTTAGGAAACCACACATAAGGACAGTAACGGACACCCAGTTAAAGACCTCATTTAGATGACTGAATAAACATGTATTTGCATGCTATCTTCTATATATTAGCATGGCATTCAAATATCTGTGGGGGTTTTTTACCTTTCCTTGTCCTTGGACTCTATGTACATTGGCCAACTACTGTCCCTATTATAAGAATATAGCTGATGAAATCGTGGTTGGAAAACTGCCCAGTTTCTCAGTAACCGAAGAATTTGACAGAGATGGGAAATGCAGCTTAAGCACTTTAGAAACTAACTACAGTTCTCCTTCTTGGTCAGTATGGCATGAGACAGCATTTTAAGCTCTATGCCCCACATAGGATGTTTTTTAGGATAGCACTGTCTAGTGTGAAAAGCAGTGGATTAAGTCAGAATCCTGGTTTTTTTCCCAGAAAGCTGTGTAATGTAGGATGAGTCATCTGGTTTTGCTAGATAGTTTCCTTTTTCTATAAGAAAGGGATAATAATCTTGGCTTAACTCAGAGTTGGTCTGATGTCTAAGGCAATAGTATATCCTGTGGAAAAGGAGCAGGGTGACCTAAAGATGCCTTCCTTTAAAATGTTCAGTAGCTGTTCAATTTACATACTCATCCCTTCCTTTCTAGAATCTTCCAGATAGCCTAAGTTTTAGCCCTGAACAGGAAATAGGAAACCGTGACAGGGCTGCAATAGTTAGCTACAGACAAAAGCCAGAGACTATGATTAATCACATTGATAAGCAGTTCCCAAATAGATAACCAGAAGAAAGTCAGTATAAATGAACTTCAAGAGATAGCACTGAGCTAATAGGAAGACCCACACTCTGGCTGATTTAATTGGATCACTGTAGAGAACCTGGACCACTCTCTTAGTCTACCTAATATTTTATTCCTTTTTTTTTTTTTTAAGATTTTATCTATTTATTCATGAGAGACACAGAGAGAGAGAGGCAGAGGCACAGGCAGAGGGGAGAAGCAGGCTCCATGCCAGGAGCCTGACGTGGGACTCGATCCTGGGTCTCCAGGATCATGCCCTGGGCTGAAGCGGCGCTAAACCGCAGAGCCACCTGGGCTGCCCTAAAATTTTATTCCTAATAAGGAAATCTACCTGCACTTAAAATTGTAACAAAGATTCAACTTCTGTTAAGGGACCAGAAAAGCCCTCTGAGCACCACAGGGGGCAGTTGCTAGATTGGGTCTCAAAAGAAAACTTCAGGGATGCCTGGGTGGCTCAGCGGTTGAACGTCTGCCTTCAGCTCAGGGCATGATCCCGGGTCCAGGATCGAGTCCACATTGGGCTCCCTGTGAGGAGCCTGCTTCTCCTTCTCCCTCTGTCTATATCTGACTCTTTGTTTGTCTCTCATGAATAAATAAAATCTTTTTTAAAAAAGAAAAGAAAACCTCAGAGGTCACAGTGAATTTGAATCCCACCTCTGCTACTTCCTGGCTCTAAAAGTTGGGTGAGTTATCTGACCTCTGTCCCTCAAGTGTTCCTAGCAGTAAATTAGGTAAAACTGTCTGTCTCGTGGCATTACTATAAGGGTTAAAATTAGAATATATATGAAGTGCTCAGTACTCCTAGTATTATAACGCTATTTTTCTTTCTACCAAAAACCTTGATTACTTAGCTCAAATAGGACTCCTCTAGCCCAGAATGATTTCTTCTTTCTCGAAACTGTAGAATTTGGGCAGCCCTGGTGGCTCAGAGGTTTAGCGCCGCCTTCAGCCCAGGGCGTGATCTTGGAGACCCAGGATTGAGTCCCACATCAGGTTCCCTGCATGGAGCCTGCTTCTCCCTCTGCCTGTGTCTCTGTCCCCACCCCCCTTCTCTGTCTCTCATGAATAAATAAAATCTTTTAAAAAACAAACTGTAGAACTCAATATTATTTTTTCATCCCATATGTATTTATTTGATCTAGTCCTGATCACAATTTCCACAATCCCTAGCACTGCACACACAAGCAGTACTCAGTAAAGTACATGCCGACTCACTAGGAGAGGGATCTCTTAGTCACCTAGGGTCCATATTGTGCAGGGAGAAAACAGTCACATGGCAAGTGGAAAACCTGTAACAAACATTAGCAGAAATGCTTAAATAATCCCACAAATTCTGCCTGGTGGATCCTTCCAATTCTCCCAAAGAGCCAAATGAAAGTCATAAAATAGTTTTTCAAGAAAACTTTACAAGAGATGAGCACAAAAATGAAACACAAACACACCGTGTCTAAAAACTTCATTTTGTCTACCTCTGAACTTGCCGCATACTATACAGTGTGTTCTGCAACAAAAACCACAGGTGTCTCCAACAGCTCCAGATCTTAAGATATTAAAACACTGTTATGCACATCATACCATAAAAATTCTAAAGGGTATTTTACTCAAAGTGAGGAAACAGACAAGCTAACTGATTAACACAAAGCACCATACAATCCAGCTCCTCCACCACCCCTTCATCCCAGTTTACCTGTGGTCTCCTCCCATTGTGACACAGCTATAGCCACTTGACACAGCTCTACTAACCACTTCAGCCAGTTCCTGATTGGCAAGGCCCACTGAGCGAGGATTCACTATTAGGTTGTTGTAGAGATCATCTTTAGGGACTGGAGTAAAACTCAGATCTCCAAAATCTTTTAGCTGGCAGCCTGGAAACAAATAGGGGATGACAAGAACAAGATTAATTGTGTATGTTATTCCAACTCTTACTGGCCCGGGCCACAAATCAGAACTTGTGGTAAAGTGCATGTCATACTCATTTTGCCACAGTAAAATTCAAAATGTCATTTGTGATTCAAATTCAAAATTCAAAATGTGATTGGCAGGATGGTCTCAGTCCTCCCAGCAATCCTATGGGGAAGATCCTATTGGAAACACCAATTTTGCAGACAAAGAAGCTGAGTTTTAGATAACGAAGCCCAGAAACATTCACTGATTTAACCTAACAATCACAAAATTGGTAGTAATGAGACCTCAGATGTCCCAGGGTTATAGAGGATAAATAGAATACCAAGAGGTATCCATAGGATTTACAGAAATTTAAGTACTAATCAGAGCAAAAATGCATGGAAATTTTCATGTTAAAACGTTTTTAATAAAAGGCCAATCTGGGATCCCTGGGTGGCGCAGCGGTTTGGCGCCTGCCTTTGGCCCAGGGCGCGATCCTGGAGACCCGGGATCGAATCCCACGTCAGGCTCCCGGTGCATGGAGCCTGCTTCTCCCTCTGCCTGTGTCTCTGCCTCTATCTCTCTCTCTGTGACTATCATAAGTAAATAAAAATTAAAAAAAAATAAAAATAAAAGGCCAATCTGAGGACCTAAAACATCCAAAAGAGAAATGTCAAACATCTGTTACTTACAAAGGTCCCAGACATTGTTTTGATTGCTCTACATAAATTCTTATTTAAATTCACAACAATCCTGTTAGGCAACTAAAACATACTGTTCTATAGACAAGGAAATGGAAGGTCCCCAAGTCACAAAGCTGCTAAGTGGCAGAAGTGGGGCCCAAATTCAGCCTTCTGCCCTCAAAATGTATATTGACTACACAGTTTGTTTCCCAAAAAGTCCCTCTTGATTCCTCCCTTTTAAGAACAAGTGAGACTTCTTGGAAAAAACGACTAGATAACAGAAATGCAGAGGCAGCAGCAAACCTACTGCGGCACACACCTGGGCCAGCTGCCGCCCATGTTCTCAGAATAGCTGACGCAGTGGTGGTGGCGCCCTCACTCTGGAAGCACCGGTGCAGAGCCAACCAGGAGGCACTCCCCACAGAGAAGCTGGACAGCAAAAGGCTGCCCAAGATGGTGGGCAGCATGGTGGGCATCACAGCAGCAGAACCTTCGCCCAGGTGGATATCGCCCAAGGTGATCAGCCCCTACCTGATCAGCCCCAGGCATCTGGGCCACCCACTTCCCCAGCTTCGTCCCCCTCAAGTAGCTTGTTGGGCCAGTACAAGCATAAACTTCTCTTTAAAAAACTGTTTTGAAATAACTAGTAATATATGCTGATAATATGCTATATTTTCACTCTTAGATTTCACATATTCCAAAGAACTATGCCACTATGCATTCATTTTTTTTAGCCTAAAGGTAAGTGCCATTCTTGCCATTTAACCATTTATATGAATAAATTGGTTGGTGCCACTTTTAGAGTTAAGCCTAAGTAATCCAACTCTATCATGAACAGATCTGAACTATCAGAGAACATAATGTTACCATAGATTGTATCCTTAAGTTCCTGCTTCTCAAACTGGAGTCCAGGTATGATTGGGGGCAGGGGGTAGGAGAAAGTCATCACAGGTAGTAATACTGGCAGAGGTTTGTGTTAAAGATTTGGAATAAGATCAGCATGGACCCATCTTGAATTCAGTACAGTTTTGAGCTTTACCTCTCTAAGATGTTTAATTTACATGAGAAAGAGAATGTACATGTGCAGGGTGTGGGAGGGACAGGGGGAGGAAGAGTCCCAGACACACACTGCTGAGTGTGTAGCTGGATGCAGAGCTTGATCCCACAACTATGACATCCTGACCTGAGGTGAAACTGAGTCAGACACATAAGCAGCTGCGCCCCCTAGGTGTCCCTTGAGCTTTACCTCTTGAACCCATTCTCCATTCAAAGCTAAGCAACTGAGAGGTTTGTAAAAATTTGAGAAGCAGTGGCCTGCAACATAAGGCCACCCAAGGAATCACCACTAAAAGGGATACTAGAAGCAAAACAAAACCTTATTCTATCCCCCAAAATTAAGATGCAGCTACAGCTGCAGAACTCTGTATCTTTTGGTCACAACATTTTAAAAAAAAACATGACCAGAGATAAGGAAAACTGAAAGAAAATATTGAAGGTAGGAGAAGAATATGGTAACAGGCCGAAGCCACTGGATCCAAGAGAAAAAAATATGACCAAATAAAACACCTACAAAAATCTTTTTAAAAGAAAAAAGAGCCATAAGTGAAATGCAGCTATAAGATCTCAATACAGGGGACAGTTTAGATTTAGGAGAAATAAAGCTTTAAGTTTTAAGTCAGTATCAGGTCTTGCTGTTGGCAACAGTCTAGGGCTGGACAGATTCTGAGTGTCAGTTTCTACTTTCCTACCCCTTACGCCACATCAGGCATTTAGGTTCTTACTAGGTATAAGACCCAGGGCATGCGGGTGTTTTATAATATTAGGTGTATAATTAGAAAAAGTTTATTATCTAATTAAATGTTAGTATTAACCGACTTTTGAAGATGACTCATTTAATCTTCACATGACCAATAAATACATGGGAATCAACCCAGTGTTTAAGTGACAACTTGGGGGAACATGTAAGTCCAGTCATGGGATCTAGGATGTAGAGTCAGGTAAATGTGACAATACAGTACTCAGCTCACTATTATTTATTCATCAGAAGAAAGCTGCAGAAAGCCTATGAAATTTGGCAGTCTTAGATTACACTCTCTGAGGAAGAGTGACTATATTTCATAAAAGGGTTTTTGGTCACTAAACATGAAACTCTGAAGTGGATCACCAGATTAATTCGCAGCACAGACAGAGGGTTCTTCTAAGATTATCCAACTCCATTTGCTCTCATTCCTTACTCACCAGCCTCCCTCTGGTTATTCACTTAGTTTCTCTGTTGCCCTCATACTGGCAAGAGGGCCTTCTAGCAGCAGATGTTGGAAGAACTGTTGTTCACCATAATTATGAATGGGCCTTCTGGTATATACCTCATGGTTAAAATGAACCTCTGGGTTGGAGAGCCTGATAAACTCTGCACATGAAGATTTCTGTTCCTAACTAATTCCAAAAGAGACTGCACTGCTATGTTCATTACAGCATTTTTACAATAACCAAGATAGGGAAGCAACCTAAGTATCCATTTATATATGAACAGATAAAGAATGGGATAAAATTCATATAAATCTATTCTCTATCTGATTATATATAATATATAAATATATAATTTATATAAATCTATTCTTTATCTGATTATATATACTATATAAATATAAATAAACATATATATAAAAATATTAGCCATAAAAAAGAATGGAATCTTGCCATTTACAATATGGATGGACCTACAGGGCATTATGCTAAATAAAATAAGTCAGATAGATAATACCAAATGATTTCACTTACATATGGAATCTAAAAAAAAAAACAGAAACAGGGCAGTCCAGGTGGCTCAGCGGTTTAGTGCTGCCTTCAGCCCAGGGCGTGATCCTGGGGACTCGGGATCAAGTCCCACATCTGGGCTCCCTGCATGGAGCCTGCTTCTCCCTCTGCCTGTGTCTCTGCCTCTCTCTCTCTTGTGAATAAATAAATAAAATCTTTAAAAACAAACAAACTCAATTACTGAGAACAAACATAATTGCCAGAGGCAGCGGAATAGAGGGATGGGCAAAGTAGGTGAAGGGGATTAAAAGGTACAAACTTCCAGTTATAAAAGAAGTCATGGAAATTAAGAGTGCAGTGTAGGGAATAATAACGTAGTAACGTTGTTTGGTAACAGGTGGTGACTATACTTACAGTGAGCACTGTAGATGTACAGAATTGTCGAATCGCTATGTTGTGTACCTGAAATTATTGTATGTCAACTATACTTCAATAAAACTTAAACAAAACAAACCCTTCTGTTCCTGGGTCCACAAAGCTGAAGACCAGACCACTGAAGGGATTAATATCTGGAGAGACCCTGCCTGATTTGCCCACCCTATAGGACTCCCAATTCTGCTATTTAAAAAAAAAAAAAAAAAAAGCCAGGTAAGAACTAAGGACAATGAGTCTTAAAAGGCAGAAAGGAAATTCAGTGAGGATTGAGGGGTGGGGTGGGGTAGGGCTCAAGGAATGATTCCTACGTCAAGTAAGGTTTGTACCAGCATTGTTTTGCTATTTTTGTTGTTGTCTTTCCTTACTAGTAGAAAATTTTTGTAAAATTGTTAGTGTCTAGTGGTGAAAGTCCCTACCCCACCTCCCAGGCTTGACTGCTCTACCTTTGCAGACCTTGGTGCATAAACACCATTCATACTATTCTTTTAAATAACGTTGTTGGAGTAGGATTAATTGCTGTAACTAACCTTCCCCCAAACAATGGCTCAAACACAGTAATTGGTTTCTTGTTTGTTTAACATCCAGGCTGGATATTCTAGGTCAGCAGGCGGCTTTCCTTCACGCAGTGATTCAGAAACCAAGCTCCTTCTGGCTTGTGGCTCTGCCATAACTAGGGCTTTGCCGCCTGTGTGGCTAAGGTTTGGGTCTCCCCAGGCTCAAGGCAGCAGGAAAGGAAGAAAGCCCCGAGAAGTCTACTTTTAAAGGCCCAGGCCTAAAAGTGGCACATCACACATGCTCAGATGGCACTGGTCAACTAATGCAGGTCTAACTTATGTCCAGAAGAGAATGGATTTTGGCAGACAGCTAGCAATCTGCCACAATAGTACTTTTAATTTCTACTGCCATAACCTTTGATTAAAAACTCAAAATATTGGGATCCCTGGGTGGTGCAGCGCTTTGGCACCTGCCTTTGGCCCAGGGCGCGATCCTGGAGACCCGGGATCAAATCTCACATCGGGCTCCCGGTGCATGGAGCCTGCTTCTCCCTCTGCCTGTGTCTCTGCCTCTCTCTCTCTGTGACTATCATAAATAAATAAAAATTTAAAAAA